CTAAAAATAGTCTAATTTTTATTATGATTATAAAACTAGATATTAAAATTTTAATTTATGGTTGGAGTCCAATTATAAAATTCATCTTTAAAATGTTTAAGTGAAGATATTAATGAGTTTGTTTTATTTCCTGGGTTAAAAAATAAAACAAAAATAAAAGAAGATTAGGAGTTACGCTGTGCCAAATGGTACCAAATGAACATCTTCTTGATACTTTTGTGCCTGAAGTGTTAATTTCCCTTTGAGGTTTCAAAAACTTGGCTATGCTACATTTTGTCAAACTGAAGCATTTTTTTAACTTCAAAAAACAGTAGAAAATAAGGCAGAAGGAAACTGAGGTTTTGCCAAGATTTGACATTATGTTAACATTATCAGAAGTAAATTACTATTTAATTTGCCATGTAACCTTAATAAGTCCACGCTATTACATGGTATTCATTTCTCCAAGGATTTGGATATTTAGTAAACTAGACTGGATAAATCTCATTTATTTGTATAAAAGTGATAATATTGAATTTTTGGATTTTTTTTTTTTTAGTTTAAAAATGGATTGCTACTTGGTTTAGTGAATACGTTTTCAAAAAATAGAACAAAAGTTGTTCACCTAGCCAATTACAATGCAGTATTTTCCTATTTTAAGTAACATTGCTAATTTTCTGATGGTGATATTGGCACTTACTGATAAGATTATTACATTACAGCAATTGGAAAGTATTTGGTTGATATGAGATTCCTAACCCTTGTAATCTGTGGTTAGGGTTCGAAATTTCATGATTTTCCCACATGAATTGAGGGTTGGAGAGAAAGATGCCTAAAGTTAAATTAAGTGATGGTAGAGTAGAAAAGTGACAAGATTTATTGTTACTTTAATGATTTTCAGTGTGGAAATAAAACAACTATATTTTGAAATACTTGAGAGCTGTGATGCTTAGGAACATTGTATAAACGGTATTACTCTAAACCTGCATGTATCTAAAATTAGAGACTTTGTTAGACTTTTCTGTAATAGTATAACATCTTTTTCTTTTCCATTCTGGTATTCTGATTTGGATAGTTAACTTTCTATTATACAAAAGGGCTGAGTTGAATAAAGTTATGAAGTAGGTTATTTTAATGTACTGGTTTTTTTTGTTTTTTGTTTTTTACTAATATACTCTATTAATCTAGAGCATTTGGCTTAAACTTAAGCAAAGAGAGAAGGGAAGAAAAAGACTGGTACTTCAGTGTTTTTCCCTCCCTTTATTTTCTTTTCATTTGTATATTATAGGCATACTGTCCTTGAACTTAGAAAATCAGTTTTTTTTTTTATAGTAAACATGAATTTTAAAGTTTCTCTATCTTGGTGTGTATACAGAGGTTGTTTTTTTGTGTTCATTAATTTTAAAATTTTGATAAATCATATGATTTTTTACATTTAAAAGAATACAGCTTCATACATAGTTCATTATTTTTGATGCATCAGACGTAGCAAATACACTATACCAGCAAACATAGCATAGTGGTATGGAAAATCCTGGATTGTTTTGAGCCCATAATTTTGGGTTTTAGGTTAAAATGCTACCCCAGTTGCCATCTAAATATATCTGTAGTTTGTGGCTTAGAAATAATGCACTGTAACTTCAAAAAAAAAAAAAAAGCAAGGATACCTATATCAGTTACATTTTAAAGTTATACACTGTTTTAAGGCTATGTATTTATTCTTTAGAAAATATGACTTACATGAATATTTTCTGTTGGACATATTGACAAAATATACACATGATAGTACTTTAACAAACTGCCATGCAACAAATACATTAAGTAATGAAGAAGTTGAATATATATGACCTAATCTAATTGACATTCACATTGAAAATTTACAACATAATCAGTACTTAAAATATTTCTTCTTATATTTGGCAGTAATGTCAGTTTTTACAATTTAAATTTAAAACTCATTTGAATGTGGATTTGGTGAAACTTAGACTTTTCTCTAGTCTGTGACAACCTGAGGTACTAAACATTTCTCTCTTATTTCACTATCTTCAAAGGTAATTTTTTTGTTTCTTTTAGGATCTATCCAAGAGTTGTGTATTACAGCATTATTAGGCAGGGGATCAGCTTCTACTATGGAAACAACTCGCTTTTTCATTTTACTTTTCAAGACCTTTTGAAATTTTTGTCTAGTGAATGCATATAATAGAGGGTGAAATATAGTTGTTCCATAAGCCATGACTAAAAAACACAATCTTAATTTTACTAAAAGGTCACTTGGGCCTAAACATAAAATGGTGGTATTTAAAACAGAAATTGGTGTCCAGCAGAGAAGAAATGTAGAAATAATCAATAAAGACATCCTGAAGACTCTTTTTTGTCTTTCTCGTCGTTCACGGTGTCGTTTCACAGCTCGCCGGAGGGCAATTATTACAGAAACTGAAGTTCTTACACCAAAGACTACATTTCTCCCACCACTGCTTTGTGACATGTCTGTAGCCTCGTGTTGTGTGGTTAGAGAAATTGTCTTTTTCTTTCTTCCTTTCTTCTTCTGCCCTGTTGAAAATCTTGTGCCTATTCGAATATTAAGAGCCTGAAGTATTTTGGTATATGTGATTAACATTACTACAACAGTGAAAAAGAATATTGGGATCTGTACTAACAGGTGATAATACATTCCCAGTTCAGTGTAGTATTCATTTGTACTGACACATAAAAGTGTCTTGTTTTCCCATGTATTTCCACTTTGAAGACTGAAAAAATTTACCTCAATAAAAGGAATCAGGAAAGAGAAAAAAGAAAAAATCCAAATGGATGTCATTAACATTACAGCTCTGCCCATTGTCAGAATTCGGTTTGCAGGTTTTACAGAGATGTCGTATCTGTCCAAAGTGATAGCAAAAACATTGATTGCTGTTGAGACACTTGCAAAAGATACACAAGCCTCATGGAAACAGCAGATGAGAGCAGTGTTACTCTCCAGTGAAAGCAGAAGAATAACTATAGTTAGAGGAATACATCCCACACAAATTATTACATCAAGTACGTGAAGATTCATTGTAATGATGTTACTGACAGAGTTGATTAAGTTGGATTTCATGCAGTAAAGTACCAATACGGTGAGGTTGCTGCCAAGTCCCAACACAATTTCTAACATAAGAAATCCGGTGAGAGACACCTGAAAGCTTAACGGATATGATAGTGGTTGGTACATATTGGTGTTGATGTCATCAATGTCATCTCGCACTGTAATGTTAGATTCAGACTGCATGTTGATTTCCACAATGGGAGAAAAGCACATTCTTTTGGAGCAGTTGGTTTTTTCCCTAGAAAGTGAAATAGAATAAACTATTTGATATTTGGCAATTTAAATGACGTAGAACGTGTTCTTTGTAAGAAATCTTTTACTTGTGTACTTGGTTTAATTTTTAAGTTTGTAAACTATTAATAGAAAATGTAGAATTAAGAAACATCAAGGTTGCATTATTTTGTTATAAAAAATTGTGTTTCCCTTTTGAAGAAATAACTGAAAATTGTTCCTCGGTAGTACAGTTATTTTAACATACTAAAGGATTTTCCTCCTTTGAGTTTTTCAAGCTTATTATTTGAGATAAAGTATATTTTTTGTATGATAAAACTACCTAGCATACAAAATAAATCTCAGGCCAATGTCTTAAAATTTTATTTAAATGTTGTGAGTAGGTAGCAAATAAATGCTATTTTAATATACTCTAGCATAATGAGTGTAGGTGTAATTATTCTTGTGAGATTTCAAATGAACAGGACAAGTGTTAATTTAAAATGACAAATGGCACAGAGCACTAGTTTGTTTTAAGATGCTTTATCCATGTTGATTGAATTTCATATTCAGAAGTCAACAGTGTGCTTGGGGACATTTGGAGTTATTTCCCACAGAAATAGGCCAGTGATAAATATTTCATGTATCACAGTTACAATGCTCAGTGAACTTTACAATTGGCAGACTTAAAAATTGGAAGAAATGGGACGTTATGCTAAAATAAAAAGCTATAAAGTTTGGTAAAAGAGCATTAATCACTCCAATGAGTGGTTTATTTTGTGACCACACCCTCTTGTAGCTTGTGGAAATAGGAAATTGAAATTTGATATCACATAGCCATTTTTAAAGTGGTTTAAATATATCAGTTAACATTGTTTAAACTGAGTTTTTAAAGTAAAAGATGAAATTTCAGGGAAAAAGGGTATGTGAAGCCCATTTTTTGAGGAAACTTTTAAAGTTACACATTACCTGTGAAACCTTTTGTGTACATCACCTATTGTCTAATTTTGAAGAAAATTTTAAAAAATGAATTATTTTGCTAATTCATGCAAATCTATGTTTTAATATATAGGGGTATAAAATAATTTGTAAAAAATAATGTCTAATGTTCTGGGCTAAAATGTCAATCAGTATATTCAGTTTAAAATATGAACTCATACAACCAACTATATTTCACATTTAAAATACGGCATTTCAACTGCAAAGTCATATTCAAGCATAAATTATAAAAGCTAATTTCAAAATTCATGTTAACTTTCACTTGATGTTATGTTTGACAAATTTTAGAATACAGTTTTATTTATGCATGTTTTTGGGGTTAATATTGCAGAAACACAAATGATAACATTTCTTTTGAGTTAGTATAAAGTATTACTAGAGGCATATTTATTCGAATAAGTTAAGGTCTTAGCTAACATTGAAGTCCTATAAAAATGGAAAATTTTAAGTGTGCCAGATTTTCTCAACTGACAGATTAAACATCAGGTCTTTGTCACATCAGTTAGATTTATAATTTAATAAAGCAGAAATGTCAAGTTAAATGATAATTAAGAAAAATACATTTTCACTACAGCAAGATTCTGTACTTTTATGTTAAACAGTGTGGTCCAGTGCATGCATCTTCTGACCTACCTGTTTGCTGTTGCCTTATGGGCCTTTTGGCTCACAATGGCAGTTTTTGACAAATTGATACATGGTATCATTGACAGATTTTGACATGAATTTTTACCTGACAACAGTGAAGTAGCTGTGATTTATTTCATGTCTTGTAGGAATTCTTTCATTTTCTCTCCAGTACTTCAACTCCATGCATTACGAGATTTAGTTGGCTGATGGATTTCTAAAGAACAGTACATAATATTTTATTTGTTTTGCTTTAAAAAGTCACGACCAAGAGAAACTTCCTCAAATGATAGGAATTATGTTTCCCTTTGATGGTGTACATGAGAATGTCTCTTTATTTTCCAGAATATGTGAAAACAAAAAAGGAAACATAAGGCTTGTAGCTTCTAAAATATATTTAAACATCCTTTTGTTACAATTGTAAACTGTTTTTATAGGAGTCCTCACTATTTTGAAATGATTTCTTGATCACATAACTTGCTTTATATTATAAATCCAGGCCATGCCCTTTTGATAAAAACCATCTGCTATTTAATTTGGTTTGTTTTCATTAGAAGAGGATACATAATTGGTCATAAAAGTAAGAAAAATCCATTAGTCGTATCAATTGATATGAATATCTGAATATTTAGTGCAGAACACACTTGTTAAATTTTCCTTTTGTTTGCTGGTCAAGTATGTTATTTTCTTTTTGGAAATTCATGTTTCATTATTTCTTCCAGAATCAGTAGCTTCCACAATTCTGGTATGATAAAGTATAAACCTCCTCTTTTAAAATGCTCACCAGTTCTTTTCAGGCTTTTACAGTTATATTGTTTTTCTTTTTGTGGTTATTTTATGTAGCATCTTCGTAGGATACAGTTGATTTTTTACATTCCAGCAGTAATGTAGACCTGTTTTCTGGTTTTAACTCCTTAATGTCTTAAGTCGTGTTACAGGAACATCTTGCAGTTCGTAGTTCAGACAGCTAGGGAGATGCTCAGTCAATTGCATTCTTCATATTGTCAGTTGTAAATACTGAATTAGCTGCTATCGGTCCTTGTGAAAAGAAAAAAATTGGTTAAAAATAGGATTTTTAATAATTTGCAATTAATTGAAAATTACTTTAGTTTTGTTTAAAAACTATCCAATATTTGTTATCACAAAAAACAAACTGAATTATTAGAGCCACAGCTATATGCATAAAATTAATTTTTTTTAAATAAAATATTCCCTTTTCCTAATAAAGACTGTATATATTGTTCACAATATACAGTTCACATTTCAAATACAGTTGTGAGAGAAAAGCTGTATTTTTAAAACTAGTTTCTGCTCTCATTTTAGAAGCTAGCCTGTATTTTCGGAGACGATGAACAGTTAAGCATACACTAAACATATTGTTATTTCCTCTTTGTAATAAATTTAACATTTCTTTCTGTAAAAAGATTGTAACTTGCTTAATTATTAGCACATGGTTTGAATTTTAACTATTAAGACAGATTTTATGACAAGATACTATAAATTTCCATCAATGAATTGTTCATGTGGTTGAAATATAAAAGGTAATAAAAATTATAACTGCAAATTAATTTTCAATGAACATGCCCAATAATAAACTTAACATAAAAATAAGTGATAAGTAACAGCAAAATAGTAAACCTTGTTCTTTTAAGAAATACAAGCATTTTTGGAACACTGAAGAAAAACTATACTGATTAAGAATATTTAGTATATCTGAAGTGACTTAAAAGCTGTCTTCATAGTGAATTAACAAAGAATATTTGTATTTAACAATGCATTCTAAACATTACATTTAAAATTTAGCATGTCTTAAAAGAAATTGATCTTAAAATACATGTCTAGCAATAAGTAGAATTAAACAAACTCTTAAAATTTAGGCTGAAAATTTTCGAAGTAATTTTTACCCCACTATGCCAGTTCAAAAGCAGCTGTATACTATAATAAGGAACACATCTTACCTCTGCTAAAGATTTGATAAATTCTTGATGGAGTTGAAGCACTTCCAGTTTGAATTGATTCATTTTGTTCACTTGTTAGTAGAGGACTGGGGGAAGAGGGTCATAAACATCTCTTCGAAAATGACCTTAATGAAAATATGTGTCTGTAGTGTGCCATTGTTTCAGCAGTACTGCTAATGTATGGAACATGTAGTGCTGCTTAGAGGCTGCTGCAGTCTCTCACTCTTCCTACTGTGGAATCAATAAGCATCTGAAAATACATAATGAAAGTAATTTAACATACTGAAGCCTTCTTGTCTCCAGAGACAACATTTAGATTCAGTCTTTCTAAAAAGGAACGGCACTGCTTTTCAGAGGAAAGCCTGTTCTGGGTAGCTTTTGCAGAATGACAGCCTACCTTGCTTCTCTCCACTGCAGAGAGATGCAGTGCATTCACTAATTTTGATTGGTCAGTTGTATTGGGCTTAAACTGTGCTTCATATGTATAGCAGGGATTTCCCCCGCTCCCCACTGTTTTATGTAAGGATACTTTTTTAAAAAGGCTAAATTTATGAGTGGTTATATGTTGTTCTTAAATAGAATATGTGTAAATTAGTATTTTTAAAATGTGTATTCTATTCTGGTTTGTTGGTCACTTATGCCTAACAAAAAATGCAGGGAGGTGGGGGAACAGGAAAGATTTACATAGTAAAAAGTATATATTCTTTTTAAAGCCTTGATAATTGCATTTGAGAGTATTTCAGTCATATATATGTTTTTGGTTGAGATTCTTTGTTCTACAAATAGAAACCCACTGCTTCTTTACTGTGAGTGAGCCACATTGAATTTCAACTAGTTTGTTTGTATTCAAGTCATCTTCTCTGAGTATTCCAAATTGTTGTGAGCATCTCAAGGTGTTAAACATTGTCATGACTTCACTTAAGTATTCATTCATTTGGGGGTATTCATTCATTTCATTCATTCATTCAAAGTAATAATCACATTGACCTAAGGTGATAAACTCTAAAATATTTTTTAAACATTTCATTGTAATAGCTTAGTCTCAGGGTGTAAAATTTTCATCATTAATAATTGTGTTACTTTTAGAGATTACTACTTTGTCTTCACCTTTGATATACTGATCACTTGCTACAATATTTTATTTCAGTTGGCTTATTCTATTTTTGACCTGGGCACATTTCTTAGATTGCTATTTCTTAAATATTATATGTAGCTACATGCTAATGTTGTTAATAAAATATTGTTTTAAAGTAAGTTAAGTTAGTTACATGTCTTTATAAGTTATAAAGCTAAATGATAAGGTAGATACACTTTCAAAATGGAAATAATCATATAAGTACTGAATATTTAACATTAAATATTTAAATATTTAAAATTTAAATTTAATATTTAAAATTAGAAATCAAAATTAAAATATTTAAAATTAAATTTCTATTTTATTTACCTATAAATGAGCTTCTGTTTTTAATAGTGAGGATAAATTTTTTTTAGAATTAAGTAGATAAAACAGCTGGAGTCTCTAGAAGACATTACAGCTGGCTAAACTGTTAGAATGCTAATCATCACTTATTTCCATTATTTTAGGAATATTTAGTGATGTTCATGTTTCAAAATGTATACTGTTTTTTATTTGCAATTGGAACTATTCTCTTATTATTTGGAAAAGCAGTATGTATTTTTATAATCTTCCACCGGTGGCATTGAAGCTTTATAGGGAAATAACTGACCAGTATATGAGTTGTGAGTTGCATTTCTATAGAAGTTCAGAGTAATGTGGTGGAAAATTTTGTTGTGAATTTTAAAAATCTTCTGCACAGTTTTGGGTGGCAAAGCTTTGGTAATGCTAAAAAATGAAAATGTGCTGCTATTCATGCATTTTGAAAGTTGGGGAAAAAGATCTTGTTAGAATGTCAGCCATTTATAGAGATAACTTAAACACACACAGACACACACACACTCCCCTGACACACGTTCATTTAAGCTTCGAATTAAAACCAGAGAAAACATGTTAGCATCAGTTGAAATATGTATTGGAGGTGAGGAGATTATTAACACAGTAGAGTGCTTTTCTGCCAGAGTTCAAGTAGTTGCTTATGTTTATCATCAAAATATCCCCATGAAGTTGAAGAAACCAAGATACAGAGAAAGTTACTAACTTAAAAGGGTCTAGGTAAGTTAGCAGCAGAGTCAGTGTTAAAACTCTGCAAACCACACTCTACTAGGCAGTTGGCCTTTTCTCTTTGGAAAATTGTGAAGGTTTTGGGACTTAGTATTGGATGATGTAGGGTTAGTTGCTATTTATTGCCTATATAACTTTTGGCAAGTCAAGCTTCCTTTGGGTCAACTTTGGCTCTTTTGTTGAAGTATATTTTTATGCTTTGTTTAACTCTTTGTGAGACACTGTTTTCAAGTTTTACTCAGATTATTTAAAAACAACAACAACAAAATCTGGGGTTTTTGAGCCATAATGGTAACTCAACGTGGACATTGTACTTTATTTTCTGTATGAGTAACTTGTCTCCAAGGATGCATAAGGTATCACAAACAGTGTTTGTTTGTGTACAATGCTTAATATAATTTTATTTCCTTTTAAAAACCACAAATTGTTTTGGTGATCACAAGTTATGCTGAAATCTTAACAAGGTAATTCTAACTTCCCATGTTTTTAACCAGTATGCAAATATCTAAACCATTGACTGAGAGTCAGATATTATTTTCATGAAAAAAATTAATAGCAGGCGGGGTGCAGTGGCTCATGCCTGTAGTCCCAGCACTTTGGGAGACCGAGACGGGTGGATCACTTTAGGTCAGGAGTTTGAGAACAGTCTGGCCAACATGGTGAAACCCTATCTCTACAAAAAAATACAGAAGTAGTCAGGCATATTAGTATGAGCCTCTAGTTCCAGCTCCTAAGGAGGTTGAGACATGAGAATTGCTTGATCCCTGGTGGCGCAGATTGCAGTGAGCTAAGATCACATCGCTGCCCTCCAGTCTGGGCAACAAGGTGACACTCAATCTCAAAAAAAAAAAATTAATGTCAAATTATCAGTTTATAAAGATTCTTGTTTCCATAGTAACACTCACACTTGTGCATTTAATATATTTTGTATTTATATAGGATACTAATTTTGAAGAATGCTACAATTGGTGATTTTAAACCTAATTTCATGTTATAAAATAATGTTATAGGCTAACCTTTATATAATAACCTAGGAAAGCAGTTTGACTTCCTAATGATAACTAAGCACTAGATTTGATTTTAACCTCAAAATAC